GGGATAGAAGATGACAACAGCAAAATAAATAAGTAGTTGTATTTTACGATTCGGTACAGCACAACGTCACAAGAGGGCTGTCAGAAAAAAAGGAAGCTTATATTAAGTACATTTCCGTTACCCTATCTTTTATGATGACCAGACTTTATTTGTAGTCGCTCTTGCAAAGCAAGGAAAAAAATTACAAGGAAAGGTTGAGATCTTGATCAGGTATGCATGCGTTTCGGGTGGTTATCGCAGTTATGGAAGGGCCTGTTGGTCTTACACACAGAAGTCGTAATGTTTCTTCATTCAACGCGTTCCAAAGTAAAATGTGGCGTTCCGATTTGGACAAATTCCGAGCAAACAAAAAGATACACACCTAAACTTTCCTCGTAAAGTTTTAACTTACATCAGAAAATGATTTTTGAACGTAGCCGTATCTCAAGTTTGTTCGAAAAACAGCGTAAAATACGATCAGAACAGAATGGACAGTTTTTTCGGAAAGGCAATATCAGCACTTAATTCCAAGGGTAATTTTTCACTTTCTCTCCAAATAGAAAAGTTAATGTAAAATTTACAAGAACGATTTGTTTCTTTCCTCGGAATCCCAAATTTCTTCCGAGAGAATTGCAAAGTTACTATTCCAACTTTGTAAACTGTTTTTTAATCTCTTATCACGCTAAAGGACTCCAGAGAAAACTCTGAATTTCTGATCAGATTTCCATAAAAATTTGGAAGGAAAACGCTCAGAAATTCCGATCCCCATAAAAGAAGTCCAAAAAGCACTCAGGAATTCTGATTCCCATAAAGAAGTCGAAAAAAACATTCAGAATTTCTGATCCCCATAAAGAAGCCCAAAAAACATTCAGAAATTCTGATCCCCATAAAGAAGTCCAAAAAACATTCAGAAATTCTGATCCCCATAAAGAAGTCCAAAAAACTTTCAGAAATTCTGATTCCCATAAGAAGCTCAGCATAGAATTTCTGATTCCCACGAGGAACTCCGAACGAAAAGTGATTTTTTTAGAAATTCTGATCCCAATAAGGAACTCTAAAAAACAAATCAGAAATTCTGAACCAAATAAAGAAGACTGACAAGAATTCAGAATCTTCAAAAAAAGATCAAAATAGAATTGGGAAATTCTGATCTCCATATAGAATGCTGAAAAAAGAAAAAAATCACTCAGAAATCCTAAGACTAACTTCCACAGTGGCAGAGGAACAGTGGTAAGTGTTGATCTGCTGCATCAGAACAGTTAAACACGGAGTACCAGTAATCAAACAAACTCCTATGTAAAATTCAACAGCTATAATAGCGGGGCTCCCGCGCGCGCGAAGCGCGCGTGGCACAGAGCCCCATACTCATGGAATATGGTCAACCTCTTTTCGTTTGGTTGTCACGTGATTGACCGAGCGTACGTACGTACGTACGTACGCGTCTACAGATTGTACGGGTGGGGTAGGGGAGACTATCAAAAGGAAGGGAGGGGTGTCTTAGGCGTGTCTTGGCAAGTCCACATCTTTAATTTGAGGACATTCACAATATTGTCAATTGACAGCTGTCAAAACAGGATAGCCACTGACCAGTATCCCATGACCATATCGCGGGCTCATGTGTCAACTCATCGAGGTGACGTGATTTATTTGGAAGCCGTCCGCTGACCAGTTAATTGTTTTACTAGATCGCGAACAATGTTCAATCTCATACTTTTACTAGTTAAACTGATAATGCACACACATTGGACATCAATTTGATCAATTGACAGCTGTCAAAACAGGGTACCCGCTGACCAGTATCACTCGAAAGTATCGCGGGCTCAGGTGTCGACCCATCGAGGTCAAGTATTTTTTTGAAGTTATCCGCTGACAAGTTACTAGTTTTCAAGTGATCGCAGGCTCAAGTTCAAGTTTTTCTAAATTCATATGAAATATGTTGTGTTTATGTGCCGCACAATTAAAATTTTGATTGCAAACTGACCTCGGACGCGAAAATTCAGCCAGCTGTTACAGGCAGGGAAGACAGTTGCTTTTGACTTTTCTCACCATGGTCACGCGTTGATCACGCTCTACGTCCAATTTTTATGCTCTGATTGGTCAAAATTTGACAGGAGTTCATGCGGAAAATTTATACAGCATCTTGAATCTTGTTTACTTTGATAGCTGAAGCTGACAGAGTTTTGTGTCAACTTGTGATGTTTTTAACTGTCTTTTTCCACTGGATGTGCAAAATGAAATTCAGCTGCTATCAGGAGTCCTCTGTTATTCATGGCTAGTTTGTTTATTGGGTTTTTGGTTGAGGAATACGTCGCTTGTCAAAGTCGGAAATCCGATTTCGGATGGCATCGTTTTCGTTTTCACCTTGCTTGCTGCGTAAGAGGATTGCAAAGTCTGAAGCGATACTGGCTTTTCTTGATACCTTTCAGGAGCTACATCTCGAATGGTAAGCCATAGAAATTATTGTATTTGATGTTTGTTTTTTTGGATCTAATTTAATGAAGTCGAGCGGAGTTTATGCGGTCATTTAGTTTATGCACGTTTGTAAGATTTGAGACAATGATCTGAACGAGTATCAGGTTTGATATAAGCTTACAGAACTTTAAAAAGCCTTTAGACAGTTTCTCACCGCAAATACAAAGAAAACGTTCCAAAGAATATTTAGCGATTTTCTTGTCTCGAGTTCATCTTTGAAAAAAGCAAACACCGGGAAGCCGGCTTAAAACATAAACTTAAGCTTGAAGCTTGAAGACTCTGGATTTTTAGGGATACTTTAATACTTGTCTTCCTGAATGAAAATTGTTGTTTCTGTATATGTTTCACCGAATTATATTTCTTTTATTGATTGTTAGTAGTCTCTCTTGTAATTTTAATCGCTGTGCCGATTGTTTTCAGTCGTTCAGTGAACATCGCTTGTGGGAGTACTCAAAATTCCGCGCGTTAATAAACCATTAAATAAAAAATAAACAGAATAAATTCTTTATAATGTTGGAGCGTAACTCTGTTAATGTTCGTTCAAACACTCGCCACAGCTCGCACTACTAAAGTGATAACCGGATGGCCGTATAGGTGATTTTGGAAATTTTTTTAACAGTTTATGAATATTGAATAAGTGCAATTTGTTTTGTGACATACTGCCTTCTGTCCGAGGTCTGCCGGTATGATAAAAACAGTGCCTCATACTACTGTTTCACCTCAGATGTGATGTATAAATGGTATAAAAGGTTGGTTTACACGCACCCAGATTTGTTGACAAGATTTTGCAAAGTAAACTTGTCCAACGCAAAAAAGTTGGCCTGATTTTTTTTCCACTAATTAATCTACGGTGATCGAGAGCCATTATGGCTCTTAAATGTGATCGAAGATGATTACCAGTTTTTGGGTGTACGTATAATATGAGGCTATCAACTCGATGTAAGATTTGGTTCACTCTTGGGCTGTTTGCAAATTATTTTTCTCTAAAATCAGGTAGCCTTTCCCTCAAAAGTCACATAAATGTGCTCTAAAGTTAACTGAATTGTGGAATTCGAATACAAGTTTATTGTTTAATTTAAATTATAAATTTATTAATGGGAGCCTCGCTTTTAGCCCTGGCTAAATCTATATATTAATTTCACAACCTACTATTTACCACGGTTTTGGCATGACTATAGACAGCAAAGAATGATTTGCTATTTATAACTTACGCGGGAATGGAAAAACCTCTGCCATTGGGACCTTTGTAATATTGAATTTCGTAAACTCTGAGCTGTAAGCTGTTCAGAGACGCATATGTATCAAAGCTTCTTTCAAAGTTTTATCAAAGTAAGAGGGTTGGAATCCTTGGCTGTGATGTTTTAAGTTCGCAATGTGGTGCACTGCTCAGCTACAGTGCCTTTTGGCCTGCCTTTAAGACTGCCACCATTGCATAACCACTGCTGCCGCAGACATCGACAACAGCGTCCCCTTCTTTTGAGATGGTTCACGAGCCAGGTGTAGGCGCCCACAGTGGTTGTGTGCTGCTACATACTGAAGGCACATGCTCCACAAAGATCAATACCTCACTCTTTTTACCAGAAAAATGTCTAGAGGTCATCTGTCTTGACACTGACCAATGTACTACCACAAACGTGTCGAGGGACTCCTTCAAATATGGCCCTAAAAGTGGCATGAGTGTAAGAGTTTTAACATGTCCAC